TAATTAACAGTGATATCTATAATGTTTCAAGTTTCTTATTTGTGTGTTTCTATTATGTACAAGAAAAATATATGGATTAGTTGTGTTTGTTTAGCAAACAAACTTATCTTGGGAAGTAATTATGCTTTATGTGGTTGATTGTTATTCAAGATATGCATTTTTATTACTATTTAGTGTTTTATGTATTTATTTTAATATGAACCTTAAAATCTTAAGATTTTACGATTTTAAACTACGATTTCGATTCTACCTCAGTTTTCGATTTTACTTAAAATCTAGATTTTGACTGCATTGATTGTGAGGACGGAAAGAACTTAGCCACAAGCATGTGGTTGTCAGTAAAATCTGTGTATATGTTTTCCCTTCTAATATTCAAGTCTGTTATTATCATCCAGATATTTATGCTTGGTTTATGCAAACAAGCTCTGGGATTCTGATAGATGTTACGCCATCTATATGCAGGAAGCCAAACAAGCACTAGAGTTGATGGGCAAGTGGGAAACAATTGATGTCTCTGATGCACTTGAGCTTCTATCTCCTCTTTTTGAAAGTGAAGAGGTAGGTCTTTGGAAAGGCTACAGTGGTCAAATCCATTAAGCTTTATCTACACTATTAGTACAATCAATGATACTGTAAAAGATCTTTCCGTTGACGCTAATGCACACATATTCTGAGTTAAGGTCTTCAGACATCATGGTGGTGTCAGACAAAGAATTCTAGTCCATATTAATAAAACATTTTATCTCTTTTTTTAAATCTTTGAATGAGATATGGTTTTGCGTGTACCATGAAATAAACTTAGAAACTACGATTTTAACAATGTTTTGTGCAAGTATTTTACGTGCATTGATGGTGGTGGATAAAAATCTTGATTTATACAAATATTTATTTGATACTTGATCATATTCCTGCAAGAACAGGTTCGTGCATATGCTGTCAGTGTGCTGGAGAGAGCTGATGATGAAGAGCTCCAATGTTACTTGCTTCAACTAGTTCAGGCTCTTAGATTTGAACGTACAGACAAATCGAGGCTTTCTCAGTTCCTTGTGCAACGCTGTATGTATTATGTCCTGAATGTCTAATAGGATTCCTGTGTGGATGTTTATGGTATTCGAGAAACTTTGTGATGAAGCTTATTTCCCGTATTTGAAACGTTATTGCTCTTTAACAGCAGTAAACAACATTGAGTTGGCTAGCTTTCTCCGTTGGTATGTCGCTGTCGAGTTTCATGATCATGCTTACACCAAAAGGTTTTATTGTACTCATGAGCTCCTGGAAGAGAATATGATGAAGGTATGGGTTCTCGATTCTTTTTTTATGGATAATCTTTTTGCAAATGCTGATAATCCTCTTAAAGTTTATGATACTTTAAAAGTTCTATTGTGTGATAATTTGTCTCAGTTTGTGTTCATTTCCAAGAATGAGAATACCATCTATTTGCGATCACGTTCAGTATCAGTTCCACATTGTTCTAAAATTGTAGCATGGCAGGAACTGCAAGCTGTTTATTAAGTTCAAAATGAAGAAATTCTCTATTTATCTGAGACATTTATGAATCTGCTGTTCATTTTAGAAGTCTCTAAATACCACTCTTTCAGGGTCAAGTAGGATGATCTGTACTATTTTTGGCTTATATCTTACTTAGCAATGGACACAGGCTTCATGAATGGATTGGACATTGTCAACTGGCAATTAACCATCCTTTTTGTACCTTGTTAGTTGCCAGCTGGTCCAGATGAAGAAGATGGATTCAAGTTCTGGCAAAGTTTGGTGCGGCAGACAGAATTGACAGCACAGTTGTGTTCTATAACGAGAGATGTCAGAAATGTGCGAGGCAATACGCAAAAGAAAATTGAAAAGCTTAGGCAGCTTCTTTCTGGACTTCTTAGTGAACTCACGTATTTCGAGGAGGTATTGATCAACCAGCGTTTCGTACTTGGTACCAAAACAATTTATTATTTCGTGACTGCTTAACACTTTGAGATGCTGCTCTCTTAACACACCATTCATTATATTTTGTCAGCCGATACGATCTCCACTGGCTCCATCTGTCCTTATTACCGGGATTGTGCCATCAGAGTCATCAATATTCAAAAGTGCACTGCATCCTTTGCGCCTGACTTTCAGAACACAGACTGGTGGAACTTCTAAGATAATTTTTAAGAAGGGTGATGATATTCGACAAGACCAATTGGTACTTCCGTAGCAAGACTCCCCTAAAGTTTTTTTTTGCTTATTGTATGTGCAGCTTTTTAGTATCCTTTTTTTTCCCCCACAAGACAAGTCTCCACATGCTAATACTTATAAATTTGAGATGCATAAAGAGATCACCACACATTTTATATGTCCCCTGGTTTTATGGACTTGTAGGTCGTTCAAATGGTATCTCTAATGGATCGATTGCTTAAGTTGGAAAATCTTGATCTGCACTTGACTCCATATAAAGTCCTTGCTACTGGACAAGATGAGGGCATGCTTGAGTTCATACCATCACGGTCTTTGGCTCAGGTACTTCATCTTGAATGCTTCTTAGTGAACGATGGACATGAAACCTAATTAGATAATCCGATGTAGTCTGTAGACTAGGGTCCTTCAGCTTCTATAAGTACCCTAATTCTTCTGATTGTTCATCCATATGGATCCTTTTATCTGGTCTTTGTCTTCAAAATCCAGATACTCTCAGAGCATCGTAGCATTACAAGCTATTTGCAGAAGTTTCATCCTGATGATCATGGACCCTTTGGTATTACTGCCACTTGCCTTGAGACGTTTATCAAAAGCTGTGCTGGCTATTCTGTCATCACATATATTTTGGGCATTGGAGACAGGTAACCAGTTATGCTATGGTTTAGTTTCACCTGGTCATTCCAGTACAAATTTAATCTTTGTCTTTATCTTCTTATGTTGTAAGAATTTTATACAGTTCAGTATTTGAAAATGTGTACAAAATGAACCATTCGTACAAGCAGTGTTTCAGAAGTTGGCCATTATTAGTTCACAGCACAAATTCAGTCTAACAAGTGCAGGCTCTTTTTTCGGTAAGAACAATGCAGGTTCTGATTCTGCTTAACACTTGCAATGTTTTCCCTTTTTGTTGGTTCTTGCAGACACTTAGACAACCTACTGCTCAGGGATGATGGGCGTTTGTTTCATGTCGACTTTGGTTTTATTCTCGGCCGAGACCCCAAACCATTTCCACCCCCAATGAAGCTCTGCAAAGAAATGGTAGAGGCAATGGGCGGTGCAGAAAGGTATCGTTCATCATATCTCCCGCTCTTCAGAAAGAGGTCCATTTTTGGAAATCTTCCATGGCCCTACTGATCCAGTTCATATTTTCCCCATTTTTTCTTCTGCCCAGTCAATACTATACCCGGTTCAAATCTTACTGCTGCGAAGCATACAACATCCTCCGGAAATCAAGCAACCTGATTCTAAATCTCTTCCATCTGATGGCGGGTTCCAACATCCCCGACATTGCTTCTGACCCAGAGAAGGGCATTCTCAAGGTAATGTATCCACCCTAATATGTCTTCTCTTCCTTTTCCTTGTATATATGGCCAGTGGTAAACATCTCGTGGGGTGTAGCTCCAGGAGAAGTTCCGGCTGGACTTGGACGACGAAGCTGCCATCCACTTCTTCCAGGATCTTATCAACGAGAGTGTCAGCGCGCTGTTCCCTCAAATGGTTGAGACCATTCACCGATGGGCTCAATACTGGCGCTAAATCCATGTATAGTAACTAGTATCCTTGTACATATGTTGTCTTTTGGATCCTCAGAAATTAGACTGGAAACTAATTTTCTATCTTGTAGCTTATAATAACAATCGTATACTATTGAAATGGCGGGTGAAAATTCGTCGCCATCTACATTGAACAGTGATCGATTAGTCGTCTTCCTCATGTTGTTAATGGTGGGCTGTTGTTAGCCGGACAGGTAGGTAATTTGAGTCGTCCTCGGTTCGTCACAACATGTAAAATGCCTACAGGTCGCTAACACAAATGTTTTCTCCAATTTTGGTGCAGTCGAGAGATTTTTACTTTCCGCACATTTATTGATTGAGTAATGAAAGGCTAATCCGGGCATAATTTCGATCAGAATAATTCACAGCTCGAACTCGATTTGGTAAATGTGTATTGGACAGAGCTTTTCGAGTCTACTTTGTGCTTACCCTCAACTTGAAATGTATGTTAATTAAAACTGAGATTATTAACGCAAAAAAAAAGTGAACTCTAAAAAGTAAAAAAGACAAGCACATTTCATTGATATATGGTCATTACAAACCAGTTCAGGACTTCTAAACGAGTTAGTTCGTGGCGTCACTCCAATCGAATCATCACGAGAGCTTGAAATTGTCAATAGGATTTAGTTTAAGAATTTTGTTATCGTGCTCGTATGGAGCATGTTTGTGAACACCGCAACCGCTATAGTTTGGTTATCATTAATCAAATTCAAATTTGAATTGAATAATATGAAACATTGATCTTGTTTTGTAGGTCGGTGTTGGTGAAACCGTACCATACCGACGATCCAACCATAAAAATCTTCTATCAAAGTCTAAATCAATAGACAGTTATTAACAATATGAAACAATTGAACCGCGACTTCAACATAAAATATCCCAAACATAATCTTTCTAGTATAACCTTTCGTATTATTTTACTATCGCGCCGGTTTCTAAGCTTTCCATGGAGAAGAAAAGAAGCTTCTAATTGAAACCTTGCGGCGGGTTCCTTAAATCAAAAGTCCAAACAAACAAACGCCAGCCCGCATCGACCAAAAGCCCATTTCTGCGAACCAATATTCCAGCCAGCCAGCCAGCCGTGCCGATTCTTCATTTTGATTCAGTGCATCGACGTGGCAGCCCCCGATTCGCAATGATCGCGTAAACACTAGTCTAGTTAATTATTCCAATATTCGGGGGGCATTTCCGATAATTCCTCATCAAATTCCCTTGTTAGCCTTCTGATATATAAAAACCTCCTCCTCCTCCTCTTTCCATATTTATCTCACGCGTTGTTTCCAAGCCTCATTTTCTTCTCGTGTTTCCTTCCGCTGCTGCTGCTGCTCTCTCCTTTCGCGTTTCCCTCCCTCCCTCCCTCCCTCTTCGCCTGCCAACATCTCCAGAAAGGTACGATCTCCATTTTCCGAGCTCCCGCCACCTTCTCGATCTCGATTGCGCTAGCCGGAATTCCCCACTCCGCGTAGAGAATTGTCCGTCTGATGGATTGCGATTTTGAATTTTGAGATGGATTTGTTTTGTCCAACTGATCTGTGAGAACTTCCGTCCGGAATTCGGTTAGATCTGTTTGATTTCCGTTTCGGCGCAAGGTAGTAGACGTCATTAGATTTGATTCGCGCTGGAATTGTGGATTTGGAGAGCTATGTGATTTCTTCGTGGTTTTCGCTTTCGCGATCAGCTCGCATTTTTTGGTTTGGCGCGCTCTCGTGTTTGGTGGTAGATCTCTTGGATCTATGTGTTTGTTGGTTCATTTCTGGCGTTCTTATGGCGTGGTTGATTGATTTTGTGCAGGGATCAACAGCAAGGAAGAGAGAAAAATGGGGCTGACGTTCACGAAGCTTTTCAGCCGGCTGTTTGCCAAGAAGGAGATGCGGATTCTCATGGTTGGTCTCGATGCCGCTGGTAAGACCACCATATTGTACAAGCTCAAGCTTGGAGAGATCGTCACCACCATTCCCACCATTGGTAAGCTCCTCTCTCTCTCTCTCTCTCTCTCTCTCTTGGCGTGGATTTCTGCACTAGTTCTTTCGTATGGATTCTTGTTATTGTATCGTAGCACAATCTGAACGCTAGATGCCAACTCTGGGTTTTGGAGATGTAGGTTGCTCTTTGTATGCATCGATGTAACATTCTTCGAGATAATTTCTTGGCTATTGTGAATGTTTGGTGCCTGTGCCATGACCTCACATTAGTTCTGGACTGGTATTATGCGTTTTTTTTTTATGTGCACCGGTCTAAGTGATTGCATAGTGACAAGTTAAATACATACATGATGTGGATCAGAAATTCTACTTGTAGGTTAAACATTTGCTTGCTGTCAGTTTTCATGAACTATTCATATGTCCAGGATTCAATGTGGAGACGGTAGAATACAAGAACATCAGCTTCACTGTGTGGGATGTCGGGGGTCAAGACAAGGTAATTGATTTTGAGGTTTTAAATTGATCCATCTTCTGGTTTCGCAAAGGAATTATTCTTATAATCCGATTCATTAAGTATGTGTATGTGGGACTTCTTACTGTCCATTCTACTAATGGATTTTAAACTGGATGTGCCTTGTCGCAGATCCGTCCATTGTGGAGGCACTATTTCCAGAACACTCAGGGCCTCATCTTCGTCGTGGACAGCAATGACAGAGATCGTGTTGTTGAGGCCAGAGATGAGTTGCATAGGATGTTGAATGAGGTACTTGTCTCAATTTTTTTTGTTTTGTTTTCCTTTCTTATCTCAGTCTGATTAAACTGCCAATGAAAAGCTTCAAGGTAAAGTTACCATGAATTTCACATGCTAATGTGGCATAAATAAAATTTCGAGGGGCTGGTATCTTATCATACTCTGCTAATTTCAAGCTTGAATTCCTTTTTTTTGTTGTTGTTGGAAGTCAAATATTGGTCATCTCTATGAAACTTCAGTTATGTACTAGAATTGTGGCATTTGCACTGGTAGATAAAAACACGACAGTTCTGAGAACAATGCAGTCAAAATCGTAGAAAAGTTTTGGTGATCTGGAAGCGTAAAATCGTAAGTTTTTAAGTTTTAAAACGGAGTTTTTAACTACATAAGTTATAAAAACTAAGATTTTGTGTAGAAATGTTTTAGTGACCTAGAAACGTAAAATCGTAAGTTCTTAAGTTTTAAAACGCAATTTTGACTACATTGTCTGAGAGTATACTGGATGCCATTATCACGGAGGTGAACTGAGCTATAATGTCCTGCCTATACGCTCTTTCGTCTGTCTGCAGTGTTTCTCTGTTGCATATGATTGTTATATGTTACTACTTGTTCGTGACTCTTATTCACGAATGATGGATAGGGGTTTTAATCTTATCTCAGAAAGATATATTAAGTAAACTCTGATGCTGATGGTCATTTTGTGCCATTGCTTACAGGATGAACTGCGAGATGCAGTGTTGCTTGTTTTTGCTAACAAGCAGGATCTGCCAAATGCAATGAATGCTGCGGAGATCACTGACAAACTTGGTCTCCACTCCCTCCGTCAGCGTCACTGGTAACGTTATGATTCCCTCCTAGTAACCTTGGTACCTTGTGGTAGATTCAAAGGCTGATAGTTAGTACCACTGTCTTTGACCTTCCAGGTACATCCAGAGCACCTGTGCAACTTCCGGTGAGGGCCTTTACGAAGGTCTGGATTGGCTGTCGAACAACATTGCCAACAAGGTAAGACGGGCATAAGTGCTTACATGAGAAAGAGAAAAAACTTACAAGAACATAATGGTTTCTGATTTCCGTTAATTGTTTTCATTCAGGCTTAAATCTGGTGATGTGGATGGCAGTTCTGGATGCAGGGGTGAATGTTATCTAGCTTCTTCTCCTCTCTTTTTGATCTTTTACCGTCATTTCTTTTCTGTTCTCCCCCTTCCCCCTTCGGAGACATTTGGATTTTGTTTAAGCATATTTTTACCCCTTGTGTTTTTACTTTTTTGTTTCCCCGGATCCCTTTGCTTTGTGGGGTGCCTTCTTTATGTTAGGACCTTTTTTGGATGTTTTACAGTGTAATAGAATATATACATATGCTGGTTGGGTCTTATTACTTTTATCGAACACGTTGCATACGGGTGTAGTGTAGATCTTCATGGGATCGTTAATCAAAGACAACCCGTTACATGGCTAAATCTCTCAGCTGTGGTTTGTGCCGTACGCTAATGAGTTGAAGCAAGCGGTACGCTATGGGAATATGGGTTGTGTTGCAAATAGGGATGACAAATTAATCCATCACCGTGGCTTTTGGGTATCTAATCGAATTTGAATCGATTTTGCTAAGGAAAATCTAATCTTTTTGGGTGGGTTTTCCTTGAACTCGACAAAGAGGGTAATGGACTATTGAATTTTACGTAATGTGATCTACAATCGCCTTACTTAAAACACTATAAGAATTACCTTAATCTCTTATTTATGAAATTATGTCGTAGTCTTGCCCTATCATGCATTAGCTATTATCCATATCGATATCATTTGTATCTTTCCTTGACCTATGTGTTTGCACAGTACTACACATCTTACTTGATTACACTCCATAACATCCACATGATCACATTGCCCCGCCAATCCTCCTAATGCGCACCAATATATCGTGACGTCAGAAAAAACACTCCGACAAGTAGCAGCGGCGGATCCAGAACAAAGTAGAGCATTGGGCCGCATTTGAATAGAATATTAGATATCATAAGCAAAAATATATAATAATTAATAACTATAATTTTCATTTACTACACTGTCAATTATACTAGAAGGTCTTTTAATTTGGCAAATCCATCAATAATAGAATCTACATCCATAACTCTCTCTTAAAGAAAATAGCTAAGCAATCAACAAGAAATTCATCGCTCATTTTGTTACGCAAATTGGTTTTCACATGTTTCTTTGATTACAAAACGTTCTTTTCATGGTAGGTGTTGAAACGGATGAGGTCAACATTAGACAAATCAACCAACAAATCAATTTGTATTGTGTGTCCATCTCTGTTTCCGCCGGCTTCTCTAGTAATTTTGCAATGTAAGAAACTACATATTCATGACTAGGAACCACATGAGCGGCATAATATCATAGCTCATTCTTCAAAGAATGCATCTTATAGCCTTCAAAGTCTCGAGGCTAAACTCCAGAGCAAGTTTGTAAATATTTTCTTCATAAAAAGACTGGAAAGAACTGTTAGGATCTAGTGCATCACTCAACTGGAGCAATCTAAATGATAACTCAACAAGTTTGTGAACATTTTCTAAATCAAAAGATTGGACAGAAAATCAGCGCCGGCGGACTGGCAGATGAATCCATTTTAGATCCGTTCGTCTCCTCGTTCTTGTTTTTGTTTTGGGGGATTGGAAATTTTTTTGAGTTTTGACAAGGGTGAAGTTTAGTTTAGAGGATTTTTTTTTATTTCATTGAAACTCTATACTTAGTCTTTTACGTTTTAGAATTTTAGGTTTTATTGTTTTATTTTTAAATGAAAATCATTCGGGCTAGAATTTCTAGTAGTGTTGGATATGTTCATCTAGACAATTTTGCTACTTACACAAAATTCGGGGTAAATGCCACGTTTGGTCACTGATATTACTAAATCATGTTATGTTTAGTCACTAAAAAAAAATTATTATCAATTTTGGTCTCTCGAATTACTGAAACATGTCACATTTAGTCACTCTCCCATAAGTTTCCGTCCAACTCCAGTAATTCGAATGACATTCATAAAAAAAAAAAGTAATTCGAGTGACCGGAGTTGGACGGAGCCTAACCAGAGAATGACTAAATGTGACCTGTTTTAGTAATTCGAGTGACCAAAATTGATATTAATTTTTTCTGGTGACTAAACATAACAAGATTTAGTAATCCCAATGACCAAATGTGGCATTTACCCCAAAATTCGATTATCAAATAACACTCAACCGACTTTTAAATAGAACTTGGCTAAATACCTAAAATAGAGAAATTAATCAGCACTATACTAGCTCTGGATCCAAAGAAAGGCTGGACCGTGGCCCGTGGTGGCCCAACCCTAATTTCGCCGCTGGCAGGTAGGGCTTGGAAATAGTGCGATATGGTCATATATATGATCTACGGTCCAGACCTAGAGACTGGATTATAGATCAGAGACCACACCACGTACTATGCGGTCCATACGAACCAGACCAGACCGCTCATCTGCGGTCTGGTCCAGATAGACCAAATATAAAGAAAATTGAACAATTTGTTTAGTCAACCGCACAAAATTGAACCAATAACCGATAAAATATATATTTTTTTTGCTTAAAACATAAACTTGACTCCCTAAATCTCAGTAAACAACAAAATAAAAAGTCAAAGCATCTCATGCACCATAACGTTATACACACTAACATAATGTTATATGGAGACACGATCGTCTCTACTCTTTTGTGAAATGTAGTTGTGAATGAAAGAGTGGATGAGTTTCTCAAAATTAGGGTTGAGACTTGGGTCTCGTTGGAGGAATTGGGAGAGTGGTCATGTGGGCTGCCAACACATATTGGGAAGTCGACTGGGTCGACGGTTTGGTCGGATAAACTGCAATCTAGACCAGACCAAACCAAAAGATCCCAACATCATATAATACATACCATGGACCAGATAAGATCATTCTTAATGGTTTATGGTCCGATTTAGTCCATGATTTTTCAAACAGTCTGGTCTATTTTCCCAGCTCTACCAACAGGAGGCAATACACTGAGATCAAAACACAAACTCTCTTACTATATAAATCACTTATCGAGGCGTCTCGATCTACTACTATATAAGTTGGTTTTCATTTTGACTATTTAATATTTAAATTTTACTCAAAATTGAGATTATAATTATTAAATGTGTGGATAAAATTTAAATATAATTATTTTCTTATCAGCAAATGCAAAAAATAACCATAATAATGCAAAAAATACTAGTAGATAGTTAATAAATTACAAGTGGACGGTAACGATTGCCAATTAATTGAAAGTTCTCAATTATAATATTAATAAAATTGTAAATTCCAATTGAAGACTAGTCTCCACGGGAATGGATCAGGTCAGTAACCTTATGGTGAGTAACTATGAGTAACCAGCCCACATCAGCATGACATCAACATCCCTCTCTCCTGGAAAGCCTTTAATTTCCCCCTTCTTAATCTTTGACGGACGATTTCTCACTCGTTTTAAGTCGAAATTTAATTTTTTTGCACAGTTAGATCAGATTAATTGTGCTCTTCAAAATGATATCCACTTTGATATATTTTTCGAACAAAAAAAAATTGAGCCATTTTTTACCAGTCTATACCATATGGTATTGACTGGTATTGAAATAAGAACATACCTATGGTTTGAAAAGCGTACCATGGTGGTATGAACAAACCAAGACTATAGGATGGTTGAATACATGATAGTAGAAGTATATTAACTGTCATTTACGACTTTTATCATTGTGTACCATAATATACCACCCCGTACCAGGGTGGTATTGTATGGTATTGTGTGGTATTTTTTGGTCATGTAATTTGTTCACCCAGAAATTTGTAGATCCAATAGATCATGATGAACTCATCCCTTCTGTGCAAACGTTTTCAAAAACGAATTAAAAACGAAGAAAATACCATAATATACCACCCCGTACCAGGATGGTATTGTGTGGTATTTTTTGGTCATGTAATTTGTTCACCCAGAAATTTGTAGATCCAATAGATCATGATGAACTCGTCCCTTCTGTGCAAACGTTTTCAAAAACGAATTAAAAACGAAGAAAATACCATATGGTATGCAGTTGGTACCGAGAGGCCAGAATTTTTTTTTTCTAAAAAAATATTGAAAATTGTTCTCATTTTGTAGAGCAAGATGAACTCGTTCCATCTGTGTAAAAAAATTAAAATTCGAGTTAAAACGAAAACGATATGAGCCGATTAAAAAAACTAGGAAAATAAAAATGGTCTTTAATTCTCCATCCTTAGATCTGGATTTTCTAAATGAAAGGTCCAGATTTGGTTATTGATGGGTGCATAACCATGGTTATGCACCCTATCTTGAGCCAGTCTCCACGCCCCATAATGCTTCCAAGATCTCATACCCAAAAAAATTTAAAAATTTTATTTATTTTTGTAAACTTGAGAGTTGGAGTTGTACATACGCCTTTTACTATGCACTCATAAAAATAAGTGTATACACCAAATCCTAAAACTAGATTTATAATATCAACTCTGAATTTTAGTTACTAGTATTAGTCTACTATTCGTAATATTACATAGAATCGCAATTAATCCATGCTTATTCTATATTCTAAATCTGAACCTTATATCCTTAAAATCAAAGTAAAATTTGAACATTTTTTAATGTAATTTCATGAATTTTCTTGTCCATCATATTACAAGTAACTATTGAGCGAACAAGGACTTGGTTCAATGGTATTACCACTAATCTTGAACTTGGAGGTCTCAAGCTTTGAATTCTTTAACACTCCGTTCACTAGGGGGAATTGGGGAGGAGAAAGAAAATGTGGAGTGAATGAAAATTTGAGGATATTGAAATAATGAGAGTAAAATAGGTATTAAATTTTGAAGGAAAAGGAGGAGAGAAGAGGCTCAAGTAAGAGAACAATTATTTTCACCTCAAATTGGGGACCAACTGCTACAATAGCTTTTCTCGCAGAATAATCACTTTCATATAGTATAACAAAACTTATAAACAGAGGAAGTGTTATGAATTCCACAATTTTCCCCAATTTTTTCCCTAATAGAGAATAAGTAGTATCTAACTATAAAAATAATCATATATATCACCACTATAAAAGTGCTATGGACATCATTTTGACACTAGAATTTCAATTATGTGTCATGTTGGAAATGTATATGAATAGCTTTGAAAGCTATAGAGTCTCTAGTGGAAAAACTACCATATTGGTAGTTTTACTTGGTGAAATGTGTATAAAGATAGGAGCCTCTCTCCTAAGGGCATGCCCCTTGGGGTGACCCACTTTTGTGGGAGAGGGAGGACCTAACGGACCACCACACACGCAGGCGCCGTCCGTCCGACCGGTCGGTCGGTCGGTTGGTTGGTTCACTGGAGCCTACTTATTAATCCCTTCGGGTTTATCTTAACCGACGGTTTTAATTAAGGAAGTAATTAATCCGACG